TTTACATATATCAACTGCGAATTTTATTCGCAGCAATGACATTTTCTTTCTTCCATCTTTCGACCTCAAAATATACTTATTACATAATATTACACAGAAGTCGCCACTTTTATTTTCTCATTTTCAGATTTCAATTCATACATCAATACTATATTATAGGAAACAATATGCATTGAATGTAGAATTGTATATATTTAACATTAAACCAAATATTTAGTTTTTCTGATAAAATATGTAACCTAAGTTTATCTACCAATATAGGCCAATCTTTTCTTTTAAAATCAAGCAATCGATATAAAAAACAGATTGATCTTTTTATAATTTATATAACAATAGGATCAACGATGCATGTGCATGATTGAAAACAAAGTTGCATGGATTTAAGTGTTTACATTGATATTACAACTTTTTTTCTAAATATCGCGATATTTTTATTAATATTCCATTAAGTCTCCAAATCCAATTATAAAATGTACATTCTAAAAGTCTTAATGTTCATGAAATGTTCAGATTTGATTTATTTAAATGAAAAGTATTAATAAACTTAATTACTATCATTAATTGTATTTGTTTATGTAGCATACGTGTTTATTTTGCTAAGAATATGAAACACCTAAGGGTATAATGATGTAACAATTTGAATTATTACTGTTTACTAAATGTGCTGGATGCGCACGGAAGTTCGTAATGGGCAACTGAAATCAAATCCGAAACATCTGGCCGTGACACGACTGACCTAACTGAGTTATGCTAACTAACATTGCTACAAACACAATCGTGTATTCCGCATTTATTGCGAGTTATTGCTGTTAATCGACTATTGATCGTGAATATTTCCCTTTAAACGAAACGATTAAATATCATATAGGAATTGATTTTATTATTTAAACATTTAAAGGGATAAATTTGAAGAAAAAAAAGTCATTAAATTTAATATTTTATTACAATATACATTCATAATGCAAATTTTATCGGGCTTTCAAGCACGAATGAATATGCAACGTTGTGTAAACATTAAATCGTGTTGAGGTAAATATGCGCAACACTTTATCTTTACCTGCCTTCCAAAATTGATCCTTTCAGGGTCGACTCTTCAATCTTGACCTCGACCCATATTTACGAATCACTGTCACAGCTGTCAACCCTGTTTTACCATATGGGTAAACGTTGCTTTCATAGTGAACAGGGAAACATTATTTGTGCTTAACGATAAAATATCCGTTACGCAACAGGTTTATTTATGCGTATTAAACTGTTTATTTTAGTCCCAATTAATGTACCTATCACAATAACAGGTGCATGAATTCAGTTATTTTACAATATTGTAATTGTACTTTAATAATATAGATTTACACTCAAGTCTGGTTTACAAATTTCAAAAGAAACTCAATTTTAATTGACAAAAAATTCTAAAATAATTAGTACAGAAAATGATTGTTTTTGTACTTTTAAAGTCTTCGATTAGTCCAGAATATTGGCGGAATGCCGTATTTGTTATAAACAAATAAATCTTAGAACAAGTTATTTTTTATGAAGTAAAAAGAACCAAAGATAGATAAGATAATTGTATGTGTATTAAATTGTTTATTTGAAAAACTATTTACTTTCTATGGTATATAAAATATCTGTAATGATGTGTACACACTTGGAATTAAACATATTTCGACCAGGCTCAATGAAAACTAAGTTTATAGTATGTTTGTTACCGTAGTAGAGACTTCAGATTGGATCGCTTCCAAAACCAACTAAGAATGAAATGTAGTTTCATTTTCGGCATCCTCATAATATTCCACAATCAAAAATACGCAAAAATTGAAGTGGACGATATCATAATTGTCCTAGAAGAGATGGAAAAACAAGAAACTTTTTTACACTATGTAATAAGTGAATCTACAAAGATCACCAGGAGAAAAAAGCAATTAATTAGAAGAGTTAATAAAATTTCTGCTTCTTGCTGGTAAGCACGTAATTATTATGGGATACAAATGTATCCCATGGGACCTTTGTAACAAATTCAAGCGCGAGTACTGGAGTGTTAAGAGAACAGTGCTATTACAATACAGTTTTGGTTATGGTATGTGTGCGTCTACTTGATAAGTTACTTGGAAACTATTGCATAATATATATGATCTAACAGTCAAATTCATGTCTTAACCGAAGATTGTTCAAAACTTATAATGTGAAACCGAAAATTTCAATACCCGAAGTATCTTGTTTCTATTAATAAATTAAATTAAATTTTAAAGTTTTAAAATATAAATTTAATCGACCATTGATTGGTTTTTATTATTATTCACGATGGTCATCACATAGAATCAACGGATTGTTTAATAATGGAAAGAGCCGCATGCATCTAACCTTATCTTTTATTTTAATATAAATTACTTCAATAAGATTTATTATGAAATAACTCATCTAAACACGTTTAAATTTATTCAAAATGTACTTTTCATGTTTTCTAAGTTGATGAAAAATATGTAATGAGAAATACCTCTCAGTTTGTAATTTGTGTATTTTTTTTGGTCATAAGAAAAGACGTTACCAAACATATGCAAGTGCTCCATTAGTTTAATGAGATCCACTTGGAAATTGCATCTTGAATATGAGCGAAGACCGTAGCTTTAAAGTGAAACTTCAAATGCGAATATTTAATTTTCCGTTGAGTAATTTAGATTTTCCATTTGAAACCGTTGCAGAAATTGAATTTTGTTTTTGATGGAATGGCATTGTTGAAGATGGCGAAGGGAAGAGTGCAGCACATTCTTTAATTAGATGGGAACTCGAAAACCTGAATATAAATTAGGTCTTTGTTGACGTTTTCCTTTCCACTCTTCGGATATAATCAATTTATAATTTGTTTTCCTACGTGATGATTTGCTTTCGAAATTCTGTCAAATTGTATCCTTTTTACGTTTAGTTAAACGTATATTTCTAATTATTTAAACGTAGTTTTTTTTTTCACTTCAGAAATTTCAATGTAAATTAGTCTGGCGGAAGAGTAACCAAATTTGTACCGGCGCCTAGGTTGAAGTATTTTTGACCTATGGGTCGCTAAATTGACAGCTGTCATCTTGTGTCAAAGCGATGAACTAGCTATGAAATACTCTTAGTAATTGGTTAGAAGCTTGAGAATCGTTAGATGAACATGACAATATAATATATAATTTTAACTGTCAGTAGCATTAAAATCTATGATAGTGATACCCTATGATACATGTGGTGACTCATCGAGACATTATGTGACACGCAGTAACAAAATTTTGAATATACTTTATTTAGACCTAAAAGTTTTTGGATTATACATATTAAGAAAATTGGTCCATCCTGGGAAACCAGTTTCAACTTTTTTTTATTTATGTGGGCCAAATTAGGCAACTTTCTCCAATATTTATTAAATTCAATACTCTATGCACTTATTATAGTCATTACCTATCTCACTATTTTTTATATTTTATGAACACTAAAAAGTTGAAATAAATATTGAATATCTGGTGATCATTATTATCTTGTCATTGTCCATCGACTTGGTCCATATACTGAACCTCATTCATTTCACTGTCCACACTCACATGTAATAATAATTATTCCATTATTTCATATACTTTTCATTACGTTTATATTTTTAATTTCTAATTTAATTTTTGAGCTCGGATGAGCACTTTGCGGAAATCATTAAAATGTACAAACGATTATAACGGCACTCGGACTAAATTTGACCCGTGAAATTGTTTCGGATACACACAGCACCAATGTTAATTAACGTGAAAGATGATGGTGCGGCTCCGGGCTTCAGGAATTAACGCGAAATGAATTTGTATCAGCCTCGAGTGCCTCTCAAATTTGAACAATATAGATAATCATTTCGTGTTTCACTGTAAATTCATACACATCAGAATGCGAGTTTAATGTACTTTAAACTTTATTGCACGTGTTGCCTGGTTTTCGGGTGGCTTCTAATGTGTCCATCGGGATATGTCCCTGATATCTCCCGAAACACCAGGAATTTGTTTCAATTTATTTTAATCTGCCGCACCACCAAACTCGCAATTCTCACCAAGTTATGTGATCACAATTTGATAAAGTTTATATTTCAGATTAGAGTAATACATATAAGAGACAATTTGAGCATGAAAGAGAAGATTTTGAATTATTTATTTTCTCCTTAATTGTAATTCATTTTAAAGATTTAAATTTATACATTAAAACAGCGTTTTCCAAACTGTGATGCGCGCCTCCCTGGGGAGGCGTGGATTAGTCTAAGGGGAGGCAATTATATTTTCCAAATATCTGCTAAAATATAGATACATTCCAGTGCTCTTATCCATATTGCTGTAATACGCGTTCAAAGTTAAAAAAACGTTCGAAAAAGCAGTGTTTTCACATTTCATTGATTTACTCGAAAAACTATAATAGATAGAATTAATCCAATATATGCATATGAAAGCTGAATGTTTGGGGAATCTATCAAGTATAGATAAATTCCTGTGCATTTATCCATGTTGCTGTAATACGCGTTCAATGTTGATATTGAAATATTTAAATAATAATTGAAAGAATATTTTAGAAAGTGTAGCATATTTTCCAAGCTTAATTCTTATTTACATTTTGATAAAAATATAATTAATAATTATCAAGTAAAAATGAGTTTAATATGTTAATTAATTTTTTTTCTAATGGTATGATTATTTTTTATAATTAGAACATGGAAATTTTGTTATGATTCTAATTATAAATACGTATTTTTTTTTGTTACTTTATGTGATTGTTATATTAATCAACATTATTATTATTATATATTTTAGTCCGTGGAAGTTTAAATGATATTTATTAGTACACATAATAATTTGCAGAAGAAAAATGCCTAGTTTTTGTTTTAATATTTATTTTTACTTTATTTTATTTTAACAGAATCTAAGCAATTAAATTTGATAACAATTTATTGAATTAAATAAAAAAATAATAATATTGATTTAAGCTACTAATTGAAATACTGGTCTTGTCTACCACTTGTATTGATGTTGGTATTCTTGCTGCTTTACTGGTACATGAACTGGGTATGGTACTTCTTTTTCTACTGGATACGGTACTTCCTTGTAGACTGGGTAAGGCCTATCGACTGGTACTTTGACTTCGTAAGGGATTGGCTTCTCCACCTCTACAGGTACATTCTTTTCGACGGTGTACGGGGCCGGCACTGGTACTTTGACAGTGTATGGAACGGCTTTCGGTACTTCGACTGGGTATGGTTTATCGACTGGTACTTTAACTTCGTATGGTACTGGTTTCTCAACTGCGTATGGGACGTGCTTCTCTACAGTTACGTGGTAAGCCTTTGGAACGTGAACGGTGTATGGTTTGTAGACTGGTACTTTCACCTCGTAAGGGATTTTCTTCTCAACGGTGTATGGTTGTGGTACTGGTATTTCGACCTTTACAGTGTATGGTACTTTCTTCTCGACGGTGTACGGTTGTGGTACTAGAACTTGCACTGGATAAGGTACCTTCTTTTCGACGGTGTACGGTTTTGGTACGTGAACTTTGACTTCGTACGGCCTTGGTACTGGTACTTGAACTTCATAAGGTATCTGCTTGACAACTTCGTAAGGTTGTGGAACGTAGTAAGGTACTTTGATGTATTCCTTAACAGTGTAAGGCACTTTCTTCTCAACGGTGTAAGGTTGTGGTACCGGTACTTTAACCTCGTATGGTACTCTATTTTCCACAGTGTAAGGCACGTGTTTCTCAACCGTGTATGGAACAGGTATCTTCTTTTCCACAATCACACCCTTCACGTTCTCGGTGTAATGATTGTGTCCATGTCCTTCGTAGTTTCCTAAATCCGACAATCCTCGTTTCTCCTGTTTTTTGCCCTCCTTCGCGTTGGAATCCGCGGCTAGGGCACAGCAAACAAGCAGAGCGCTAACAAAAATCTTTAAGACCAAAAATTAGTAACTAATTATTAGATTGCTTTAAAAGAATTACTTACGAACGCCTTCATGTTTGGAGATGCGAGAAAGTTCTGATTCTTCACCGCCCTGCGGCCAGGTTTTATACTCGCGCCGAGAATCGCTCGACCGAGTATTTTAGGTGTAATTTTAATATTTTTTGGGGAATCTAATTAGGACCCGGAGTATGCGAAGCGTGAAATTAATTATATCTGCGTTTCGTAATCCACGCTTGTTAGAAAATCGCTTGGAAATTGGAGTGAATCCAGATGGTTCATATAACAATCCTTTCGCTCTTTCTGCACGTGATCGGTGTAATTGAAACAGGTGCTCCAATGCGAATCGGTTAATGCATGTCAACTCTGCAGGGTGATGCAATTATCGAGCACTAATTACGCTTTAATCGAGGACTAAATTGGCTCCCTTGCTGGCGATTTACATATTTTGCAAAAGGATCTTCTCGTTTCGTTGAAAGCCGTATGTATGGAAATCGATTCGTATTATTGCAAATGCTGCACATAGTTTACTCGTTTTACACTGGAATTTCGAACCGGAGGTTTTGCACTAAAAGGGGTTTTAATGCATTAATTGAGGGCACTTCCAATGCAGCCGTGCACAAGACATGAGTATGTTTCGATTTCGAACAGTGTGCACAGCAAAATACACTGTGCAATTCATTATCCGTCAGCACGCAGTGATCGATTTGCTGTTCGAAGCTCTGGATTTTCTTTTCACTGTTAATCTGTGTCGAACGTTAAACTGCTGCTTCAACGTATCCAGTTTATGAAACGAACGCTTTCAGCCCCATTTACAACATTTCCAATATCTTCTAATCTGTTGGATATGAACTATCATTAAATTAATTTTCGATAGAATGGAATTGATTGAATTATATTAGATATCTTTAACATCAAATCGTTTGAAACATTACGTTTATAAATATTTGTTTACAATTTGCAGATTTTCTTGAGAATAATGTGATGATTTATTTTAAAATATAACCGACTTGTTTACTAAGATGCGACTAAAAACTTTCATAATTAGAAAGCTATATTAGATAGAATGAATCCAAAAGAGGCATATTAAAGCTCAATGTTTGAGGAATGTAGAAAGTATTCATATATTACTGTGGATTTATCCGTTTGGCTGTGATTCGCAGTGTTTTTACATTTCATTG